ATGCAACAATTACATGATGAAAGGTTATACACCAATTTTTTGGACTGAAAACAAAACAAAACAAAACAAGGTGCAACAATTATGCAGTGAACGGTATTATATACAAGGTGTTCCAAAAGTCTTAGTTCAGTTTTAGGCTGACTCGTATGTTATCTCTCTTGTTTTGTCTGCCCCTACCTCCACTACACAGATCAGAAGGCTTCTGTTGTCAATGCAAAACAGGAAAGATATGCAAGGGATAAAGACAAGGCATGATAGGAAGAGAAAGGTACCCCAAACAAAATAAGTATTAGCAACTAAGATCAGATGACACATAACCTCTCTGCTACCGGGAAACAAACCAAAGGGCTCAAGGCCAGAGACACAGAAGGAAGAGGGTGGAGGGAAGAGGTACAGAGGACAAAGAGCATCTCTTAGCATCTGGCCTGCTCTGCTTCATAAGCGATGAGCTAGTCATATCCAAGAAGTAGTTGGAGATTCCAACTAACGACAGGATACCAAATAGGAGAGTTATCAGATAATGTTAGTTTGTACCAAATCCAAATCCTTTGCATAATCCAAATAGAAGTATTCCCTTCACATAATGAGGTTCTACAGATGTTCCTGTTTTCAGGTGGCATTACCACAGTTATACTGAACCCTGGAACACACTACAATGTTTCATCAATAAAATCTATAATCACTTAAATGAGATCCACCCAGTCAGTGATCCCTAGAAGATATGTGAAATGGATCAAGAAGGCATTTTTTTCCAGATTATGGTAGGCATTCTATTCAATTATTTCATCAGTAATTGACTCCATTGGGTCCAGGGGTGGGGAACTTGTAGCCTCAAGGCCACATGTGGCCTTGTAGGTCCTCGAGTGCAGCCTTTTGACCGAGTCCAAGTTTTACAGAACAAATCCTTTTATTAAGGGGATTTGTTCTTTGGAGTTTGAATTAAGTCAAGGGGCTGCACTTAAGGACCTAAAGGGACATATGTGGGAGGCCACAGGTTCCCCACCCCTGGTGTTAGTCTATCAGTACATATATCTTAGACAGTCACAACAGACAAATAATGAAATGGACCCCTGATAAAAGGGGAGAATGCTGAACTGAATTTGGGAAATGGCATAAGGCTTTCAATGATTTCAAGTTGCTCTATGCCACCAAACTCCATTTCTTTTTTAAGACTAGAATTCTCCCAGTGGTGCTATTTTATGTGGTTGGAACCATAATTTTTGAAGAATCAAAAATTTGAGTGAGCCAGAGTGGCAGAAAGATGGAAGGTGGGTACAAGGCTGAAGTGCTTTACCAACTTTTATTTGCACACAAGAAGCACACAGCATCAAGGTTATAACAGGGTGCCCCAAAGCTCAGCTTTAATAGCTGAACTGAAGGGCTCAAGGTCAGAGACGCAGAAGGAAAGAGTAGAGGGAAGATTTAAGCTATTAAAGCCTAAAACTGCACTAAGATTTTTTGGACACTGAATATGACTAGACTAGCAGGTTGGCCAGTCATGTGAAAAGAGCTTTTGTTGTTGTTCAGTCGTATCCAGCTCTGCGGCCCCATTTGGGGTTTTCTTGGCAAAGATCCTGGAGTGGTTTGCCATTTCTTTCTCCAGCTCATTTTACAGATGAGGAAACTGAAGCAAACAGGGTTAAGTGACTTGTTCAGGGTCACACAGTGAGTAAGTGTCTGAGGACAGATCTGAACTCAGGAAGATGAGTCTTCCTGATCCCAGGCCTGGCACTCTAACCACTATGCCACCTAGCTGCCCTGTAGCAAGAGCCACAGATAGACAATACAAGTTGTACTGATGTCCTTGAAATGTTAAAAGATACAAAGGGAATCCTAAAGAATGTTGGACAGGTGTTCTGTAGAATATTTGTGAGCAAGAATTGCATAAGATAGACAAATCTTGATCTGTCCTGGTGGAGGGAAAAGTCACACTGACATAATAGATCCAGTGAAGATGGTCAAATTGAATAATTCAGGAAAAAGGAGACTACTGCATGATCCAAGTTCAGTGGCCAATTAATTGTTCACAGCTCTGTTGCTACTCTTTTGGTTATGCTGACTAGCCCCAGTAAAAGAATGAAATCATAAAAACAAACCATTTTTTCCTTTGACTTTTTCTCTAATTTAATTTTTTCAATGAATGAAAATCTATTTTCTCTCCCCCCACATCCCCAAAAGAAAGAAAAAACAAAACACTCATAAGAAATACGCATAGTCAATCAAAACAACTTCTCTCATTGGCCATGTCCAAAAAATACATTTCACTCTGCACCGAGAGTCTATTCTATGACCTCTTTTCAGGAGGTGGGTAGAGTTCTTCATCATTAGTTCTCTAGAATCTTGGTTGATCATTGTGTTGATCAGAGTTCTCAAACCTTGCAGAGTTGTTTGTCCTGAGAATGTTGTTGTTACTATATAAATTACTCTCTTGGTTCTACTCACTTTCTTTACATTAGTTTAATGCATGTATTTCCAGGTGTCTCTGAAACTAATCCCTTCATCATTTCTTATCGCACAGTAACATGCCCATGTGCTAGGGGACACAGCAAGCTCCATGTTAGAAGTGGGCATGCCTAGAGCAGTCTTGGGTTACATTCATATGCCATAATTTGTATAGCCAGTGCCCAATTCATAGGCCCTGCCTTAATTTCCAGTTCCTAGCTATCATAAAAAGAGCTTCTATAAAATATTTATATATATATATATCCTTTCCCTCTGTTTTTTTTTTAATCTCTTTGGGGCCATAGACCTACTAGTGAAGACTGCTGGGTGGAAAACACTGCCAGAGGAGTATAGCTTGGAGGGAAATGATTAAATGGCTGGTCTGAGTTCTCTCCTTAAAGGGAGGATCTAGGAGGAGCTCTCCATTGTCCAGAAAGATGCCTTTCTGATCAGAGGAAGGGAAGGTCCCCAAAGGAAGAGTGCTGAGGAGGTACTAGTTTTAGAGTTTATGTGATCTTACTGGATGATGAGTTTCTGGAGACCATGATGAAGTTGCAGTCTGATGGGAAATGATGGGATGGATACACTGGGTGCCTTCCTTAAATGTAGCTCTCTACTGTTCACCCTTTATTCTCTCCAATTAGAGAAACATAGGAGCCCCAGGAGCACAACATGCACCAGTATTACTGAGAAAGTTTGAATAAAAACTAGGATATAGTTTTTTTTAAAAAAAACCCTTTATTAGACAAAATAAATGAGAAGAGAATTACCTAGAAAAAAAGGGGATTAAAAGGAATTATCAAAAGTTCACCAAATATTTGTTTTTTATTTTGGGGTATTGCTGATCATAGTTAATGCATGTGTGGGTGGCTGGGTACAAAGGCCAATGTGCAAATCAACAATGCTTTCCTCATCATGTACATGTGAAGATCATTTTATGGTTTCAGCTATTGCAACAGCCTGTTGCTGATAACAGCTCTACCTCCTAACCTCTTAGGTCCTGTGACAATAGTAACTTTTATTGCTACACCCAAAGCTTATCTTTCTGCTTTCACTTCTCAGAATATTAATTTTTAAAGTAGCCCATTGTACTCATTCATTTAAGTCCCAAAATTAAAAGAGAGAAGTATTAAGCATAAGGAATACATGTTAATAGAATTAAATTCTTAAGAGTGTTAAGTTTCTCATATTTGTACCCAGTTTTACCTTCTGAGGGGATTCAGCTTAATCAGGGGAGTTTACAAAGCAAATATGCAAGTTTTGCAAGAGTAAGCATATCAACCTTTCCAATTTTTCTTTCTTCTCTTCCCTTCCCCTTTCCCCCTTACCTAACACAGGAAAGAGAGTCAGCATCATAATTGGGCCCAGTAGTTATTCTGGGATTTCTTGGTTTCAGGTGGGCTCTTCTTAGAGCACTCCTGGGAGTGATTAAAAAGATTAAACCGTTAAGCAAGGTGTCTATAGGAGTGAGACTTCAAATGGCTTACAAGTCCTTTAAAATTCAACTACTGATGGTGAAAGAAAACCCCACACTCCCCACCCCATAAGGTAGTTGGAAAATTTTCTGGGGTGGACAGTTTGGGAAGATTACAGCTCCTGTTTTACCTCTCTTTTCTAGTCCTGTCTAGTGTTCCCTCCCATTTTTATTATCGTTAGCTATTCAGTTGATCTTTAATAACTTTAATAGTATAAAAATGTTTATTTGGGGTAACACAAAGCCTTCATGAGAGGCTATGCCTGGAAGCAGCTGTGTACAGTGTGGGCTCAAGAGAGTGTTAGTAGGCATTTTTCCTTCCCCCTTCCCCTAAAAGAAAAGACAAAACACTCATAACAAACACGCAGTCAATCAAAATAACTTTTTTCATTGGCCATGTACAAAAAACGTTTCGGTCTGCACCAAGAGTCTATGCCCTCTTCTCAGGAGGCAGGTAGAGTTCTTCATCATCAGTTCTCTAGAATCTTGGTTCTTTCTGCATGATGAGTTCCATTAATTATGAGCCCCGGGTATTCACTGACCATTAATTATGAGCCCCGGGTATTCACTGCCCATCTCCTCACCGCATTTCACCAATTTTCCCACGATACTTTTACGTATTATGTATTACGTAATGGACCCGGGGACGCCTTTCTACGCTTTTATCGGCCCATTTCCTCTACCTGACTAGACTTTTTCATTTCCTGCCTGTCTCACAGCGCGCCCCGGCCCTCCCGAGTCTTCCCTGCGGACCCGGAGGAGGCCATGGGTGGCCCCTCACGCTCGGGGTGGGCCAGAGACAGGCACACGCTCTTCCACCTTGAATTCCATTTATTTGGCTCCCTGCCTTTGAAAAGTCTCTTTTTCTAACTTTCATATTTATGATAAGGGCACCACCCGCTTCTTGATAAGGTGGGCTCGGTGAGCGTGTGTTCGCGTGGCCGCTTCCGCCTCCCGCCAGACCTCGAGGCCCACGCGGGGAGCCCGTTGGCGAGCCGCGCGCTGCCTCCCCATAAGTCGGGGGTCGTCGCTTGTGACTGGTTAATTAAAGGCTCAGGCTCGCACGGTTGGCGGGCGGGGGCTGGTAAAGGTGGGGAGAAGGGTGTAGGGCGTCGGCGTGCGCCCATACGTCCGTACGTGCGTGCGTGGACCGGATCGCATAACAGAAATGGCGGGCGCAGACTCTGAGCCCAGGGACCTGGTGAGTGACTAGGCGGGTTCGTTCTCCCTTTTCTGGGTCGGGCCTAGTCGCTCGTGCGCGCTCCCCCTCCCCTCCAAGTTCAGGAAGTTGGGCCTCCCACGTGGTGGGGGAAGGGCGCGCATTTCCTCCACTCCGCTTTCCCTCCAACCCCAGCCCTCCCCTCCCTTCTCGGTTGGTTTCGTTCTCTGTAGGGGCCCCCAACGGTCTGCTGCCTTGCTTTTCGCTCTGTGAGGCAGAGGTTCTTAATCTGGTGGATAGATTGGGGCGGGGGTGGGGCTGGGGTAGGGCCGGTGAACTTGGAGAGGAAGAAAATCACTTCTTTATTTTCACTCACCAATAACCAAAGTTTTGCATTTTGGTCAGAGAATTGAGTGCATAGGCGTCACCGAACCCCCAAAGGCGTCCATGCACCCAAAAGGAGACGCCATGCTATAATGTGCTTATCATCCCTGGAAGAAATAATTGTTAGTGGTTTTCAGGTGGTCAGCATTGGAAAGTTTTCCCCACTCAGGAGAGAAAGAATGGATAAAACTTGATAAAAGAACGTTGGTTTTATTTCTTTTTCCACAGGCAACAAAGGAGAAATAGATAAAAACACTGGAAACTGAATGGGATGGAAAGGTATGAATTCCCGTTCAGAGACATAACCTTTTTTTTTTTTTTTTTTGCTTTTTTTTGGTGAGGCAATCAGGGTTAAGTGACTTGCCCAGGGTCACACAGCTAAGTGTCAAGTGTCTGAGGTCAAATTTGAATTCAGGTCCTCCTGACTCCAAGGCCAGAGCTCTATCCACTGTGCCACCTAGCTGTCCGAAATAATCTTTTCATTGAGTTGTTTCTATGGTGCCAGTTTGTACCATGTTAAACATTTAGTGAACAAAGCACAGACACAGGGAATATAGATCTAGGGATGTCTAAGGTAAGGAGATGAAAAAAAAACAAAACCCCAAGCCTAAAATTGACCTTATTATATAGTGTTTTATAATTTGGGAAGATCTTTGCTCACTATCTCTTCTGAATCTTACAATAACCTTTTGAAGTAGATACTAAAGATTTTATTATCCCCCTTTTAGAGCTGAAGAAACTGGTCCAGATAGGCACTTAACTTACTTATGGTGGGGCAGCTAGGTAAATGTCACAGGTAGGATTTGAAATCAGACCTCCCAAGATTAGTACTATTTTCATTCCATTAGGATTTTCTATTTTTAAGATGGACTATGAAAGGTTCATTAGTCGCTTTACTTTCCCCTAAGCACCTATGACTCTTTCTTCCTTGGCAATTTAGTTATTTCACTGTTAATCACTGTATAGTCCCAGTGTGTACGATACAGGGGGAAAGAGGGAAGGTCACTATGCCATTAGAATTTATTTGTCACTAAATCAATTTGTAAATTGGTTTGTCACTAAGTAGGCTGTTAGAATGTTTGAGCTAGAGACAGAACATTAACTAGCTAATTTTGTGCCTGAGGCAAGACTATAAATTTGCTACTATCCCATCCTATCCTAATGGAATGTTGGTTTGGGATAGTAGATAAATATTTTATGTATTTTCCTGTCTACCCCTCCTCAAATTTGCATCCCTGAGGCAGGCGCTTTACTTGTTTAGCTCTTGTTTGGATCTGGGGTAATGAGTCTTTAAGATAGTCTCATTTCTTCTTTTTATAAACTGAGGCACAGAAAAATTTCAGTAGGTTAAATATCTATGCTGATCACTCGATTTTTGGCATATGTATCTTTCTCCTGAGTGGAAGGATTAAAAGTGCTATTTAAATGGAATGGATCCATTGGATAAAGATGTGGGAAAATGCATGTGATATAATCAGGCCAGAATTTCCCTAACTACAGTCAACTCTGGAATGACCTTGGGATCCATAAAGGGTTTTAAATTGGGGTTACTATAAAATGAAAAGATAAAGTTGGTGAAGGAATAATGACAAATGTTTCATGAATGGAAGTTTCTCCACCCTCCCCACTTTTTCCCATTCTTCCTTCTCTTCTCTCCCTTTTTCAGCAGAAAGAAAACCTTCCCACCTACTTTCCTGAGATGCTGTTCATTGTGGTTTGCTTCTTATCTCTCACTCCAGATCTCAAAATTTTTTTCATTATACTCCATTCTTTCCTCCTTCTTTGTTCCATTTTCAGATGAAGAGGTAGGCTTTCTCTTGCTGAAACTAACCCCTATACAGATGAGCTTGCCTCCTTCACTTGTTATCTTTTTCTGTCATCTTTGCTCTCTCTTTATTCACTTCTTTGCCACCTAATCCAGGTCTCTCTATAGTTAATTTAAAATTACAGCTTCTTTTTTATTCTAAACATGTCAAGAATCAATAAATATTAACATTTCTGTATACAAAGGACAAAACAAGGGAATTATATATGACATTGTGAATCTATTATATACAGCTTGGCTTTTTAAAAAAATTACACCTAAGTTTAACTTCCTAAGTCCAATACTGCCCTGTTTGTCTGTGTCCCTTTCTAAATTTTATTTTCCTATCTTCTGTTTTTAAACATGTTTTGTTAATATTCTTTTCTTTCCCTTTTTGATATCCCTATCACCTACTCCCCCCACTCTCACAAATAAATTATAAAAGCTTTCCTTGTATTATTATTCCTAAATTTTGTTTTTTGAATTACCAATTTTTAAAGTGAAAATCCTTTCATTTCCATTCATTCTTCCTATGTTCTTTATTGATGATTAATTTTATTGCATTTGGTCAATAAAGGATATATTTATTACTTCTGCATTTGTTTATTAAGTCTTTATGTTCTCTCACCAAGGTTAGTTTCTATAAGGCTGTCAAACATAGTGGAGAAATATGTATGTTTCTTTCTGTTCCTATGCATTCACATCAGAGATCTAGCATATCTAACTTTTTAAAAATTCTATTAAATTTATTTCCTGTTTATCTTTTTGTTGAACTTGTCAAGGTCTGAAAGGGAGCACATTAAGGTTCCCAGTCATTATAATTTTGCTATTTCTTCTTGTAATTTGGTGAGGTTTTTCTTCTTTTAAATACCTAGATACAATACTAATTGCATATGTTCATTATTGATATTTTATTATCTATTAAGTCTTTAGGCATAATATTTTCCTTGCTTAACTTTCAAAACAATATCTGTTTTTACTCCTGATTTGTCTGGGATCATGATTGCTAATCCCCTCAATTCCCTCACTGTTACTGATTTTTTTAATTTGCCTGAAGCTCAGTAAATTTTGCTTCAGGTCATTAAGTTGTGAATGAATCCTTTTACATCTTATAAACAATATATTGCTCTTTCAAATCTGTTCTGCTGCCCTTCCTTTTATGGATGAATTCATCCATTCATATTCATGTTTATAATTCTTAGTTGCTTATTTCTGTGTCATATCCTTTCATACTTTTTTCTCCCTTTCTTTCAATCCCCCAAATTCATTAGTAGGCACCTGGGTTGCTGATTAGATAGAGCACTGGGGTTGAAATCAAGAAGGCTGAAATTTAACTCCTACTTCAATCAATAGTTGTATGACCCTGAGCAATTTACTTATTCTCTCTTGGTCTCAGTTTCCTTAAATATAAAATGGAGATAGTAATAGCACCTATTTTGCAAGTTGTTATGGGGTTCAGATGAGATTTTATACATATATGTAAATGTATGTGTATATATATATATAACATATTTGTGTATGTGTATGTGTGTGTATATATGTATATATGCATATCATATATATGTATGTAATCATTTTGCAAACCTTAACATTTTATGTGAATGCTAGTTGTTATAATCTGTAATTCAAGTGGTCTGTTCTTGCTCCTCTTTTCCTCCTCTCTGGACCACCCGATATCAGATCTTTGGTTTTCTTTTTTAAAGATTTTTTAAAAATTTAATTTAATTCATTATTTTTTGTTACATTTTAAGTTCCAAACTGTCTCCCTTCCTGCCGCACATTAGAAAAGGCCATGGTTTGACACAGATGTGTGTGTGTGTGTGTGTGTGTGTGTGGTTTTAGTATGTAGTTTAGTAGGTTTTAGTTTGAGCACTCAAGTACTGCTGCCACTTCAATGCAGGCCCTCATCACTTCATATTTGGGCCTTTGCAATAGCATGCTGTAGGTCTGCTTACCTCATCCCCCCCCCCCCCCCCCTCCTCCATTTAGCTGACAAAGTGATTTTCCTAAAGCACAGGTCCAATCATGTCACTTCCCAAGTCAGTAAACAACATTTGTCTCCCTATAGCTCCCTATAGCTATAGCTTCTAGGATCAAATATGCAAAATCCTTTTTTGGAATTCAAATCCCTTTATGATCTAGCCCTCTTCCACCTTTCCAGTCTTTTTGTACCTTATTACCCACCGTAGACTTTTTGATCCTGTGACACTGGCTTCTTTTCTATTCCATGTACAAGTACTTCCATCTTTTGGTGTTGAGTATTTTTTCTGTCCACCCAGATTTGGAATTCTGTCCCTTTGCATTTCTGCCTCCTGGCTTCCTTCAAGGACCAACCAAAATCCCACCTTCTACAGGAAGCCTTTCCTAATCCTTCATAACTCTAATCCTTTTTCTCTTTTAATTAATTCCTAATTATTATTCCTAGGTATTCCTTAATTATTTCCTATTTAACTTTTATGTAACCTGTTGTACACATTTATATTTGTTTGCTTGTTGTCTCCCCCATTGGATTGTGAGTTCCTCAAAGGGCAGGGATTATCTTTTGCCTTTTTTTGTAATTCCAATGCTTAGCACAGTGCCTAGCACATAGTAGGCTCTAAATAAATGTTTATTGAACTGGTTGACTAGATAAGACTTGGCAAATGATTTGATATGTAAGAGGAAAGAGTGGATATTGACCAGTTTAAAAAAAGTGACTGAAAGAATGATGGTGCCTTTGCAGAAATAATGCATTTGGAGTTGGGGGAGGTTTTGGAGACAATGAGTTCCTTATTCAACCTACTGAGTTTACGAATCCAGGTAGTAATATGTGATAATCAGTTGGTAATTCAGGACTGGAGCCCGAGAGAGAAATTAGGACCATATGTAGATTTGGCTGTTTTCTGTGTAATTAAACTCTTTGGAACTGGTGAGATTATTGAGATTAGAGGTATCAAACTCAGATGGATCCCTATAGTGCATATTGACTTAGAAAAACACAAATTAAGTTTATCTATGTTTTATTGTATTTTTATTTTGTAAACATTTCCCAGTTACATTTTAATCTGGTTTGGGTCACACTTGGGAATCTTGCCAGCAGTTTGTTGCCTACTGGCATACCCATCCTTAGAAGATGGGACATGGATGAAAGCAAAGGAGCTTTGAATAGAGGTTAGGACTAGAAACAGATTTGGTATTCATCCACGTGGAGATGGGAATTAAAGCCATGAGAATATATGGTTTCTCAGAGAGAAAGTGGAGAGCAAATTGCATTTTTAATATGGTAAAGATATGTATTCCATGATGTAAAGAACTTCAGTTATTTGTTTGTATCTGGGAAATCAGTTTGCTTCTAATCAGTTGGGAATAGTTTTATGAAACAGAAGAGATTTGAAGTGGGAGGGATTTCAGTAAATAGATCTCTAGATTTTACTTTTTCTCTATTTCATTTTTTGTTTGTTTCTAATCTTTTATCTGAACTCCAAAAGCTCTAATT